TATTATCAAACTTACTGTACAAGGCTGACTGGACTGGCCACTGTTTAGCTGCATGTGACAGGCTGCACAGGGTCGTCAGAGGAGGGGCCCACGATTTGGGTCTGAGCCCCGACTCTGCTACATACTAGCAAGTCCAGGGACGTCATATGGTCTCCTCAAGCCTCACACTCCTCATGAATTAAATGGAAATGCTAATGATATCTTTATTAATAATGTTTTCAAGATGCTCAAATGAGATAACTTTTAGGAGAGGCCTTCTTGAACTTTAAAGGGCTGTTTAAATGCTCTTTATCTATGAACCTTGTGTGGATGAAAGGCAGGGATTTGCAGTTCCAATCAGTGGATGGAAGGAAATAGCTTTGACATTGGTAACTGAATAATACCAAAACTTCATCCCATTATATTTGCTCATTGTTCTAATTGATGTAACTCAACAAATGGGTCTCTGATCCTTCTTAGCTTGCTCCCTACATCTATCTTGTTATAATGATACATCATTAAAGTCCTCACTTTCAATATTAATACTTTATAACATTTGTGTCCTCCATTACTACTACTTTCAATATGCTGAAAATCAGCTCTTGGGACAATATTATCTCTGAAACTACCACCAAGTCTCAGGACTAGAATAATCCCTGGGTTTCAAGCAGGCAATGACAAAAATATGGTTCATTTCCAGCCCAGTAAACTTTCCCGATAGAAAATAAAAATTAGTTTCATCTGACATGTCTGAGTGGCCATCTGCTCTTTGTGCCTTCTCGGAGTGTCTTTTTGGGTAAAAGAACTTCTCTCTTTCTTGTAACTTCTCTTAGGACACGTGCTTTGGGTGGAGCCACCCCTTCAGAGATGGACACTAAAGGCTGCTGGTTTTTCAGATAGGTTTCAGACATACACATCTGTGTACCCGACATACCTTTCCCAATAACAGAAAATCCAATTACATAGCTTGAACGAAGGTGATTTATAGTCCATGTAATTGATACAATCCGAGGTTTCATGTACAGTTTGATGTCAAGTTCAAATCATAAGGGGACCCAGTGTCTCTCAACGTCTTGGCTCTGTTCCTTTAATGTTGGCTCATCTCAGGAGTGCTCTCCTCTCAGGGCTGCCTGGTGGCTGCCAGCAGCTATATCCTTCCTTACTCAGGAAGGGTCTTTGTTCTAGCATTACCATCCAAAGTCCTGATGTTCGTTCTTCTTGGGTCGGCTTGGATCACATGCTGGCTCCAGACCAGCAGATAGCCAAGATGACTGGCTCAGCTCGTCATATGCTCCACTCCTGAGATTGGTGACCTTGGAGCACATACATTTTGAACACTGGTTAGGGCAAAGGGGAGATACATATTTGGGAGGCAACCACACGTGTCCACTCCATTCTGTAAGTGATTTGGATTTTAGCATATGTGATAGTGGTTTAGTTTTTGGTGTTTTTATCGTGTGTGTTCTCTTCAGGATGGAGAAATAAATGTTGGCAAAGGTAGTTATGGATTGGACACCTCTCTCTCTACAATAAATACAAGTTATAAACCTTTAGATTTTGAAATTTATATTTTTATATTAAATTATCCAAATGATTTACTGTTTAAGTGTCCACATTCTAAAAGGAAAACATAAAATGTCAAACATTCCTAAGAATGAGGAAAACAAGAGTATATAACTTGACTTTAGTAAATATTTAGCACTGAACATAAATTTCCAGTCTTAATATTTCCTACTTAATTATACCTTCAGCCTCAGAAAAAAAACTCACAGAGAAGCCATTTTCAAAGGTTTAGACTTTTATTCATTTAACTCTAGTAGCCTTTTATATTTTAATTTTCAATAATGAATACCTTTGCCTTTTATATTTGGAATGAAATCTCTTCAGCCCTTTAAAGTTATCTGAACTTACAAATAGAAAGGTATCACAATCCATTTCCAATTCACAGGGGTTTGTGAGTATAAATGTACATGCACAGAGATCACTTCAGTACCCAACAGTGTCAGCCACGGCCCGGACTCCAAAATATCACTGACTGTCCTGCATGATGCCTCGAATGCCACCTTATAAAAAGGCCATTCATCTGGATTCAGGTACTGCATATATAGTAACCTCAAAGTGAAAAAAAAGTTTAATGCTCAATTCCCCAACGACTAGCCAAGTTCTGAAGAAGTAATAATATTTGATAGAAGGTGCCAAGGCCAAAAGCACCCGAGGCATAAAGGTTTACGAGAGAGCGTGGGAAGCAGCAGGCACAAGTTACTGTTCAGGGTCTAGACAGAGGAGGGCACTAAGGGCAGACCTCCCTCTGGCCAGTGCCAAACCAGTAAGTAAACGTGCTCTGTGGGTATAGATAAAGTGGAAAATAATTGAAATGTGACATTGCAAGAACTAAGCCTTTAAAACATCAGGGCTCATAAAAATGAGACTTTCTTCTGAGTTTCCTTTCTTCTAAGGAAATACACTTTAACCAGAGAAATATTTACTTACCATTAACAACAACATTCTATTGTGTAAAGTAGAATAGCCTTTCAATTAAAATATTGCTTCAACAGGTTTTTCCTAATGGAGAGAACTAAGGTTTACATATGGCTACTAAACGCTCACCAAAATAAGAGAAAAATTCAGATTTTCAATTAATTTTTTATAATGATTAAAGTACATGTAGGAAAACAAAAGGATTTATATAGTTTCATTACTGTCGTTTATTTCTGGATCATGCACAGAAACAATTCCACTCGTACATTTATTGTATTATTCATTTATTTCAGTGCTCACAATAAAATGGCCACCTTAATTTGAATATTTGAAATTCAGAAGTATTGTATTCATTGCTGTTAGTACGCTATCTGAAGTGGAACTCCAGGTAATTTACTTGTAATTAGGATTCAGACAAATGTCTACGCTTCCAAATACCACACGAAAACTGGAAAAAGTGGCAGAGACTGATTAATGTAGGGCAAAATCTTGTATTCAACAACACTATGACTGCAATGAAGGAAAAGCCAACAACGTGAACCATAGGTTTTTGCATTCTGCCTTGCCCGAATAAATTTCACAAACTCAAGAGAGACCTTCAAGCTTTTAACATTCCTCACTCTTTGGGGAAAGGCAAAAGCAGCATTTCCTTCTGTGCTAAGAACATGAGGCTAGTTGTCAGGAGACCTGGGCGAAAACCCTGGCTCCAGTGACCCTGCAACTCTATTTTCTTGATTCTACAAATTAGTTTGCTCTAAATCATCTCTGGTGCTAATTTCCAATTCATAGGTCCTGATTCTTAGGAAACTGATGCTGAAAGAGTACATCAGATCACACCAGTGGCTCTCATAGTGTGGGTCCCGGGGCTTCACCACCTGAGAATTCTTAAGAAATGCAAATTTGGGGGCCCTGCCCTCGATCTACATAATTAGTAATCTCTTTTGAGAAGCAAGTCCTCCAGGTGATTTCTGATACAAACTATACAGTTAGAGAACCAGTAGATTAAACCAAAACTATGTTTAAGAAATTCACAGTTCTAAACGCAAGGTAAAATAAATCAATCGAAACTCCATTGTTAGATTGTTTATCGGGTACACATTTTCCAGAGAGGTAAGATTTAGGGCAATCTTAAAAAAGCTACTAAAAGTCAATGAAATGGTTTTACACCTAATTAGAAAAGTTAGAATTTTTAATTATTTCTTATTTTTCCAAAGTTATTTATTAAGAAAAAAATCATTTACAAACCATAAAGACTCTCTTTAATCCTGTGAATAATTATTTAATGAAAGGCATGTTCGGGTTTGTAACATATGCTAAAAGATGAATTTCATCAATATAAAATATTTTAACAGCACATGGTAAGGGGTTTTTACACTGATAACATAATAAATTGAAGTTCTGCACATTATAGTAACTGTAGTGGCTTTTCATAGTGACTACTTTGGTTTTCAATTTCTAATGTTATAAGAACCAAGAAAAAGTCACAATATGGACATATGGCTCCATAATCTACTCTCTGAATAAATTATAATTGTAATTGAATATTATAATTACTTTATACATAAAATAAATTAATAAAATTATAATTATAAATTATTAAATAAGCTATTAAATAAATAATACTTTACCTTGCCAAAGTATCCCGATTTTTCTTAAATTAGGTCACCATACACTAAGAGGTCTTCTTCAACTTAACAATCTATTCAGTATTTTCTGAGATTATTAAGAATTAGGCTATTTGGAGGAAAAGACCTATCAATTGCACCATGCTATGTTTTAAACATGGTCCCCATGACACTGTAGATGAAATGCCTCAAATAATACAATGAAAATCATTGATTTGGAAAATGTAAAAATCTGAAATATACTTTTTATAATGTCTTTCCCAATATTACAGTTTTAAAGAAAAGATTAAAAAATCTAATCAGGAATAAGTGAAGATAATATGACAAAACCTAAGCAGCTGAGTCCCGACAAGAATCTGTCAATGAAGTATCTTTTTGGATTTGTTTTTTTACAACAGAAACTTAGTTCTTAAAGCACTTATCCAAAGTCACCGAACTTGTTTTATTTTATTTGAAAACAAAGTCATTCCCAGAGCAGACAGCTTAAACTTAGGAAGATGTCACTACAAGAAAGGGCTTAAATTCACTGCAATCATCTAGGACTCAGATACCAGTGTCAGCATGCCCTAAACTAATTCACTTCAATAAGTCTAATAACAAAGTACAGCTCAGGAAATGCTCAATCAGCTTATATACGAATACACATTTAATACTGGATCTTCGCTGCATTTTTAAAGCTTCTTAACAAACTGACTGCAGTGATAAACTGTAGGTGCACACAAGACACAATTTTAGACAAAAGAGCTATTCAAATACATCTTTGACAACAGGTAAAGGTATAACTATACTAAAGAAACACTAGTAAATTAAGTTTTTTTCACAAATTTTTATCAGTGTATTCAGGTGTTGGATTTTTACAGTATTTTCCCAAAAATTCTATAAACCGAGAAACTGAACTGGTTAAAAAGGATGACAAAATGAAAGCAACATTTAACATAGTTTTTATTTAATTTTGGTAAGTGTAGAATGTAATGGTTTCAAGGCAGACTCTGGATTATTTCAGTCACGACTCAATAGTTAACATGATTCTGAAGAGCAGTCTTATCTTCAATATCTACCCACCCCTACACAGACACATCTAGAGAAATCCATGTACACATATATTAGTTTTCAAAAGCTCAATATTTTCAACAACTCTAGAATTCAGATTCTATATTCTCACACACTTCAAAATCATCCATTTGATGTAGGATATAACTATGAGGAGAAAAAAATTCATGCAATGATACTCAGGTTTTTTGTTTAAAAAAACGTAAATACAACATTTGATAATTCAATGCTATATAAAGTGCATTAAATAGCTAAAATAAAACAAGGGCCAATTTTATCATGAATTAATAACACATTTATTGTCTTGAAACCAAACAGGCCCCAATTTTTATCTTTCTGAGTCAGCTCTCTATAAACTCATTTCTCTTAAACTTCCTGTGTAATAAAAACCAAGATATTTCATTTCATCTTTGCTTCTTTACAAGAGATGGCAGAGGGCTCAAGGTAGGTTATGTTCTTGATGATTCAGAGTCAGAAAGTACTTCTTCTTGAGCAGAAGGTTCATAATCTCCTGCATTTTCAGCCAATTCAATATCTAACTCATCATTACTTTCTGCACTGTAATCAACTTCTTCAAGGAATCGAGGTTCATCTTCATCCAAAACATAAGTAGTAGGGCTGTAGCCAAAGCACACAGAACATATAAGACTTCATTAGATTTTAAGGTGCTAGCATAAGATTATTTTGGCCACACTGGATTAATCTTGATTTCAGTATAAAAGTAGTTGAGTTAACTTTTAAAATGTTATCCAAATGAACAAGTGATTTATAGTAGTTCAACCTTCCCTGCATTGACAATAAAGGGTAAATGCTAATTTTTAACTGTATTACAAAAGTGTCAATATACATCCTACAATTAGACAGCAACAAAAAACAACAGGCTCTCTCATTAGGTTACTTCTTTGAAGGATTTCATCAATTTGCAGGCTTAAAATTTCTATTTTAATCACTGTAAACCACGCAACAGCTCTTTTCCATAGGCTTCATTAAAAACTGTGGGTATTTAATTGGGTCCTCCAGTTATGCACTGACACTACTTACTCTAAGTCTGTAAAGTGATCATTTGCCATAAAGGGAGCCCATATACCCATCCTCACAGTTTCTATCAGTAAAAAATAAAAATGAAAAACAAGCGAACACTCCACACCCAGATTAATTACTTTCCCTTGGGACTTAGAATAAGATATCTGCTTAAAAGCACTAAGTGCTTCTAAATATTTCATTAGGTAAATTCTTTGGGGTTAAGACAACCTTTCCACTAGGGTAGCATATTCTTTTGTCAAAAAATAATTGTGTTCTGATTTCTCTCCATTTGACACACACACACACACACACACACACCAAAGAAACACTACAGGAACATTTCAATGTCCCCATTTTGTGACCAAAACTATCTTAATTTCATATAGATGTATCCCACCTGCTTCCACGAAAATTTCCCATAATTGATGCAATTAAAAGCCATAAAATCAGACAATAAAAAGGGAACAATAATCTGTTAAAATGAGCAGAGAAGCAGATGTCATTAGGCAACTAAAATAAAAGAATTCCTGCAACTGCGTATTAAATTTGGGTCAGCTATCTGGACATTTGGGCAAGAAAGACAAGTTAATAGATTATATGGTTCTAGTTTTCTGAAAAGAAAGCAAAACTCATCTGGTAAGAGTATCCTTTTTCCTAGAATTGTTTTGATTGTGCTTATTAAAGAAAAGAGAAAAATATACTACAAAACCATCTTGATCTTATATATAGCAAACTTCCTCTTACAAGTTCTGAGCTTGCACTGTGATAGAACAGTCCTGATAAATCAAGCTGAATGGCTTGGAGGGTTATGTGAGACTTTACAACACACCTCACACTCACAAGAACAATTTCACCACTTTCGATTATGCAACTAAAATATCTGTCGTTGACTGTTAGGTCTTTGGCGGGGGGCAGGGGGGAGGCGGGAAGGTTAGGTTAAAAGAAAAAATTTGCCTTTCAAAATGACAAATATTCTTTCTTTCTTTTGAAAAACAGTAACTCGTTCCTCCTTGACCTTGGTATTTCAAATTCTCAGGGTGTCCCAGGGAGTTCTGAGACTGAAGCAAAGGAGGAGGAAAGAGAAGTGAAGAGAGAAAACAAGAAAACACAAATCTCTTGCCAAATACTTGCTTGTTTTCTTCCTGGAGACTGTTGTAATAAGAAGAAATAATCACAGAAATGCAAAGAAGGAGATAGATTTGCTCAAGAGCCACATAGTACACTGGTACAGGGGCTGGGGAAACCAGCCAGGCCTGCAGAAGCCGACTCCAGTGACCAGGTGCAGAGACCAGAGTGGCGTAGACGTCCAGCAGCATCACGGGCTCTCCCAGTGGGCAGGAAGAGCACAGAATCCACATGGTGGATGGGTGGGCAGGCAAGCATGGTTCGGAAGATCTACAGACAGCAGAATTTCATACACATATACATACACCCCTCCACTACCACCAAGGAAAACAAGACTGACATAAACGAAAATGGGTGCAGGAAGCCCAGCCACTATACCGGGGTCAGAGCAAAGACCTAGTTCTACAACAGGAAGCTGGACACTAGAAAATTTATCTGCCTGAACTAAGGGAAAGGGTCTAAAGAAAAAGCCTAGTCTTATAAGCTGTTAAATCAGTGAGGAAACAGAAAGAGAGAAGTATAACTTAGGAACAACAAAGATGCCCAGGATTCAAGACAAAAGAGTTCCCAGACAGCAAGGGGACTTGGACAAATGCTTGGTATCAGAGGCTGGTAAGCACTTATAAGACAGAGAAGCACAAGCGGGACGATGACAAGCTCCTAGAAATTTAAAAAGAAATTCTACAACAGGGAACATTCAGGGCTCTAGACCCAGATAATAACTTGACCTTTTCAGTTCTTAATCTTGGCTCATTCATATGCTGATTGTAACATGAACTCCATTCATGTTCTAGCATTACCCAATCTTATACCCAGGAGTAGACCAGTTTCATACTCATTCCACTCCTGTAAGCCACGCTGGCCCTAATGTTTGACTCCTGCCTCTGCAGGTCCTAACAAAATCATGCTCCTACTTTATAGCGGAAGAGTACATCCAGCAATGGTGATGGGGCCATCAGTGCTAAGTGTGTGTGTGTGTGTGTGTGTGTGTGTGTGTGTGTGGTGTGGTGTGGAACGGGCAAGAAGGGAGAGGAGAGATCAGCAGATCTAGTTGTAAGGAGCTGGGGAAAAGGTAAGGAAGAAGATTGCAACCCCCATCACTCCACTGAAAGCAGGCTTCTTACTGCTATTCCAGTTGCCACTTTCCAGTCCATTTTTTCCTAGATTTCTCTGCTGTACTTAGCTGTGGTGAGAATTCTGACACACCTCTCTTCTGGTTTGCTTCATTCCCCTGTTTTTCTTAATGCTGATTGAGTACCCCTCATCCTTTGTGTATGCGTCAAAAATAGGTGCTTATAAAAAGGCTCTCACTGTTCTTCTTATATATACACCCTCTTCGAGTGAACTCATATATTTTAATTTACCTTCTGATCATTTCCAATTCCAAATTTCTAGCCCCACGTTCTCCCTTGAACTTCTCCTGTGTATGCATGGACTCACTAATATGTTCACATGGCTATCTTGCATGTTCCTTGAACGTAACATGTTCACAACTGAATTCATTGTTCTCGCCACCAAGCCTTCTCTTTTTGTAGTTTCTCAGTATCATTCACTGAGTCATAAAACCAAAATTCTCAGCAAGCAAGTCTTGCCAATCAATTTCCAGACCACTCCTTGCCTCACACTTTACGAGCCTTAACTGACATTGTTTCCTCTGCTTCAGACATACCTCCCACCTTTCTTCTCCCAACTACTCATATTTCTTTTAAACCACAACCTAGGCTCATCTTTCAACTTTCTTCCTTTCTAAAGACCATCCTGAGATAAGAGCCCTTTCTCCATAATCCCTTTGTACCCTGCATGAACATTATCCGATGACTTCTCGTATGCAGTGAAACCATCTATTTGGGAGCCTGTCTCCTCAGTACTAAATCATAAATGTCGTAAGGTCAGAAACTGACTTACCCATCTTACTACTGCTCGTCATGTCCTGGCAGTGCCTGACACATGGTCGGCCTCAAACAAAAGTTTGCTGAAATCTTTACGAGAAGCCAAGAGGTCCACAATCACCAATTTTCACATTACCATCCCTCTCCCACTTTAGTAAAAACACTCAAGGCACAAGACCAACCACAGCAACTCAGCTTTACTTTTAATAATTATTCCAACATATGTTTTAAGCACTTTGCAACTTAAGTTCCTTCATATATATTATCTCACTTAAGAGAAATACTTTAAGGTAATCTGCCCTAGGATTATAAAATAATCAATCCCTTTCCATTAGCAGATAAGAATTCAGACATTATTTCAATCAAAAAAAGAATGTCTAAGCAGCATTTAATTCTTTCCCATCACTATTACTTTGTTTTCCCATCACTATTTCCTTGTTCTCCTCATTTTCTTCACTTAACTTTACTCTTTTTGTCCTGTTTTTGCTTCATTCTTCAATAGCTGTCTCAAATACACTTGCTTTAACATCTTTCTGTTATGGATTTTAATTCTTAGGGTAAAGATGACTAAGCCAAAAACAATGTAATAAGAAATATTTCAGTCTAAAAGAGAATAGCATTTTAGTCCAAAAACAAATCCTCCTCAGGCTGCTTCATGAAAAACATCAAAATCATCAGCCAAAGGGCCTTCTCACAAGATTAATGCATTCAAATTCTCTGCTATATGCTATCATTATGATGCAGAAAAGCTTTATAATTACAACTGATTTCTAAAGATAGCAAAAAGTTGATTCAAAGTTTTCTGGCTATCCTTATATTAAACTATTAAGCACTGCACAAAATTAAACCTAAAAAATTCACCATCTTCCTCAAATGTACACCCATCTGCTTCCATTAGAGCTGACTGGACATCCGTGACATCAGAATGTGGATCTTCAGCTCTGTTACCTATACGAGCATGAAAGAAACAAACACTGCATATGGAGTCAGAAATTCTGCGTCTGTGCCTCTGCTCTTCTACTAACCAGCTGTGTGACCTTCAGCAAGTCACCTACTCTCTTCGAGCACTGGATCTGCTCAGGTGTAAAGCCAGGATAACAACACAAGCCCTACTACTTCACAAGGTTGTTCGGCTCAAAGTAGGTATATTTATAAACTCTTAAGCTGTACAAATATAAAATGTTATTATGACATGAATAAAACCACCTTGTTATGGAAAAAAGTAGTAAATCAGTCCTTCTCAATTCCAAAAGAGCCTAGACAATAAGCTGAATGGGACTAAAAACACTGTTTTACCTTGTAATTCAGAGTCATCCCTTAACTTTGCACTCTGCTACAATTTTGAGACTAACATACCTGTTTTAATACAGTACGATAAAGATATCCTGGGAGAGAATATCTGAAACTGATGCACAAACAGAAAAATATTCTATTGCCCAAATTATAAGCAATCTGTGACTTGCTGATTGTATCTTTCTTGTGTTGAAATATCAGGACTAAGGTGAAAGCAAATGCCTATCTACACAAATACTATAGAATATTTTATTTACATAATTTGATTCCTATCTTATTAGAGATATA